CGCCATCTATTGCACCTCCGCACGAACTTTTGCACTCACCCAATATTTGTCTAACATTGCCCAGTATGCACTTGATATGATAATCACGCGTGTGTATTACACGCGTGTGTTGCTGAACTGATATGTTTGAAAAAAAAAATATAAATGAAAAATAAAGGTTTTGTCAAAAATTTCCGTAGAAATCGAAGTAGTTTATTACAAACTGCGGAAGATAAGATAAACTAGCACACACACATCATCGTCTATATTCAACTATGAACGTTGTATCAATAATCATCGTATCAGCTCGCGAAGGTGGATACAAGCGACAAAGAGCCGATGTGGAAGGATTCTAAAGGGCCGAGACGTATCTTTTGTTGCAACTAACCGGTATTTAGTCACGATGGATCACCTTCCAAATTTCAAGACATCGCATGCAGTACCGATATGTACGAAACGGAGGCCTTTAAAATCTAGAAAAAGTCATATTAAACGATAGGAGATGAAGAGAGCACGCAGTAAACGCATGAGTCACAAAGAGATTCTCTTGAGTATGTGTGATAAATCGTTCTATTAGAAAAACCATCTTATAATTGAATTTCATTTCCAACCGCGAAAAAAATATCACTCAAAATTTGTTTCTCTTTCCCTCGAAAGATGTAAATGAAAAAAGTGCATCGGTCATTCGGAATGAACGTTACGCGTTAGCTGATCAACGCGAGAAGGCTTTCTTTGACGGAAACTTCACACTGGAATCAATACTGGAATCTTACGTTCGTGAATCCTTCCAGCGACAGATCCATCATCTTCCCGAGCGTGATGGTAAGCCTCCTCTTTGACCTCAACATTATGAGCAGGACGAATTTGTTCTGGTCGAGTTTCAAGTCGTACCAGAGTGACTTGTACGCCGCGTCGCCGATCATTTTGCTCTCAAGAAGAGTGTCGTAAGAAATGTCGCATCGTCAGTAAAGAAAAATGAGTGTAAACCGACATTCAAGCATTGTTTATATTGTAATATCATGACCAATGACAACAAATATGACTCTTGCGATTTCATGACTGAAACTCTCACATGCCTCGGTCATAAATACTGGATTACTACAAAATATCGTAAAATTGATCAAAAGGTGTTTAATATAAAAATAGTACCTTCAATAATATTCTTTAACTTGACGAAACATATAAATATTGTGCGAGCGTATTGTCATATATAGACATAAAAAAATCGCAGGTAGAAATACGACTTGTGAAACAATCGTGTGTTTCTCATGATAAAAATATGTAACTGTCGTCGTCGGAAAGTCATCAAAAGACGCAAGTATGGTTGAACTTAATACAGCGTGAATAATCGGGATGATGGTCTGTAAAGTTTGAAAAAAATCTGAGGGGGCCAATAGTGCGTTCCGACCTTGGCACTGAGGTATTCTCCACAGGAGCAGAAGAGAAACGCCTCCATAATGGCGGCCGTGTAAAACATCATAGCCTTCATCAGCGCCGGACTGTCGATCGAATCGCCGTCTTGCGCGTTGCCAATCGTCTGCAAAATTGAACCGACCACGAGAATGCAGATATCGCACTTCTTTGCGCGCGATCACTTACTGTCACCAACATGTATCCCAAGCAACAGATCACCAATGTGCTCGACAAGAATTGTATGAGCGCGATGTAACAGAAAATTTTCTCGACCTTGTCAGCGAAGGCGATAATCTTCTGATGCCTGACAACCAGTTCGCCCAAGAAGGACGCCAAGTGTTGCTTGCCAGGGGAGAAATTTTTCAATACATCGCACAGGATTTCTATCTGGCCGCAAGTGTGAAGAACCTGAAAGCGGTCTCTGTTGGGCTCACTTTGCAAGAAGAAAACACAGACGCGAGGACAGAATGCACTAATGAATATATTTAGAAAACAATGACATTACATCCAGAGAATTGAAGGCAAACTTCTCGCTTCAACAGCGGCATTGTTGAAATTAAAAAAGAAAACGTTGTTTTAATAACGTCAATGTGAGTTTTGACAATATAACTATAAAATCGCGAATATTTCTTCCAATTACGGCGCTGTTGTCCATTCTTATTGGTACAATAGTTCTTTTTTCCATGTACCGTCTATTCACAGATTTTCACTCACTAACGTGATGACTAGAGCGTTCAACATGCCGTTCACGATAGCAGCCGGAACCATATGCATGAACCTCAGGCATTGAATGAGCTCGAACCGCGGTGACTGGGTGTAATCGAAAGGCAGCTGCACCTTCACTATGAACTCACGAATCGGCGTGCCGTCTTCATCGACATTGTTCTGGCAGATCTGCGCCAGAAGGCCTACACCGTACGAAATTGCGCTACACGCATGAACTCCAGTTACCAAATTAGACAAGTGACGTGACAGACTGGCCTTGTCGCTCATAACGTGTACTTCGTTGACAGCAGCATCCCTCCAATCAGTAGCCATTACAGCTAGGACATTGTTAAATATACTGCGACAATTTACTCTAACCGTGTGCTTCGCGTCGGTTATAAACGATTCATGCTAAGCTGGTGGCCGGTAAGTTCCGTCACGGAGCTATTATTATTTAGTAGTACTAATTAAGTTATTTCGTTCGTTTTGTAATACCTAAAATGCACTTGAATGTTATCATAGCATATGATGACTACGTTAGTCAACAAAATTAAAGACTCGCTTAGAGGTGCGTAAATAAAAAAAAAATGCAATATATATAATTAAAAATATTGCTGATATCGGTCAATTTTGAATTGGTCTTTATTTGTGGGATGGAGGAATTATGTTATCATAAGAGAAATGTGATTTCTCAGGACCTATAATTCTCTACTTTTAAATGGGACAAAGACGTTCAAGAGAAAGGTTGTGCTTACCGAGTATTGAACCATAAAATAATGAGTTTCGTAAACATCACAGTATATTCTAGAGCAGCGTTCAAAGCGTCCGTCAGATTCAACAGATCTTCGGTTTTCAAGTGAAGAATAAGGTACCAGTATTGGCAAATCTGCATTACGGTCATGGTCAGAATCCAAACACACCGATAGAACAATATGCCCGGCGTATCCGGCCACATCCCGATATGTCGAAGACCGAGTTCCATCGTGAAGGAGAAGTCGCTCACAGACGTCTTTATTTTCTCCTGTTGTGACATCATACGATTTATATCGAGATATCTTTATTAATTCGTAGTTCCGTGAAATATTACTTTAATTAAATCTCGAAATTGTTGCAAACCGACTGAAAATCCGAGAGGAAAATTGCCCAGCCGAAAAATATTCGATGTACCGGTGAGATTTCACCAATGTCGCGAAGCCACGATCTGTTATAATGGCGACTACATTGAAAAGGCTGCATAGACCTTTAAAACGACTGTATAGCGGTAAGTTGATCACGCAAATAGTCGATGACTAAGCGCACCCATTGCAAAGTAACCACCGGTCAATTGCCGGCGTCTGAGGACGGGAGTTATGATGAACGGGAATTAACACTGCAATAATGGAGCGGTTATTACACGAGCGAAGAGTTACACGATCGTGGCCGTACCCACTATCTTACCGCTGTCTCATTTTATCACAAAAATTTTCAATGATGGGGCAAATTGGCTGCATGAAAAATGAATAGAGGACAATTTCTCCACATGCGCGTTGCGCGAGCGGACAAACGAACGATTGTAAATGTCAGAATTGTAAATGAATTTTTTTTCCGAAAAATACAGCAGAAAGTATACGGCGGAAAAATCGGATCATAGCGAGTGGGAGTTTTTCCAGATGCGCGATATGATTGTAATGGATGATGTGTCTTGTGAAGATACAGTAATATCGCGCATTGTTCGTACATAAAGCTTCATATGTTCAATTTTAATTTTAATGAAGAAAGCTTTGTGTGTGTATGAGTGTGTAAACATAAGCAACAAATTTGTTTTCGAAACATCAAAATACTGATTGTTTATATTAAAGAATATACATATATTGAGATTTTCAGCGCGGTCCTCAGATATGTTATCTAACATGAAGGCAAAGTATTACGATAATCAGTTACACATGTGTATTGCTGAACTGACTGATGTTGAGAAAGAAAAAACGCAAAAGAGAAATGAAATTTTTATTAAAAATTATCAGTTTTTTTGCTGTGTTAAATGCAGTCTCCGCCAAAACCAAGCCGCTCCTCTAAACCGACAATTATATTATCACTTCATTAACATGATAAACGAAATTTTCAAATATAAATCAGCGAAATACTACCTCCTCGTGCCAAGACAGATATGTACGTATCTATGCAAGAAGTGGTCGCGTGGAAATCTAAGTAATTTATTACAAACTAGAGAAGGTAAATTAATACACACACATCATTATCTAGATTTAACTACGATCAATGTAGTAATCATCGTATCGGCGAAAATGGACACAGGCGACAGAGATGGACAGATTCTAAAAAGCTGAGGCGTATTTTCCGTTGCGTCTAACGAGAACTTTGTCAAGTCGACTCGCCTTCCGAATTTCAAGACATCACATGCAGTACCGATATATATGAAACAGTGGCCTTTATAATCTAGAAAAATCATATTAAATTAATCATATTATAATAGCGCAAAGAGTGCACGCAGTAAAAGCATGAATGAAAAAGTAAGTCCCTCGAATATATGATAAATCCTCTTATTAGAAACCACCTTATAATAAAATTGAACTTCACATCCCACCGCGGAAAAATCATTCAAAATTTGTTTCTCTCTCTTTCGACAATCGAAAAGGAGAAAAAAGAAAAATATATCGGTTTTTTGTAACAAATGTTATATGCGTTAGCTGGTAAAAAAGAGCAGGCTTTTATTAACGGAAAAGTCACACAATACGCTGAAATCTTACACTCGTGAATCCCTCCAACGACAGATCCATTATTTTTCCGGCCGTGATGGTAAGCCTCCTCTGTAACCTCAACATTATGAGCAGAATGAATTTGTTCTGGTTGGGCTTCAAGTCGTACCAGAGTGACTTGTATGCGGCATCGAAAATCATTTTGCTCTGAAGAAAAGTATCGTAGAGAAACGTCGCATATCGTCAGTAAAGACAAATGAATATAAATCGACATTCAAGTATTGGTAATATTATAATATTACGACCAAAACTATAAAAATAGCTCTGGCGGTTATATGATTGAAAATTGTCACATCCCTCGGTCATAAATTATAAATGCTAGATTATTACAAAATACCATAACGTCGATCAAAGTTGTTTAACATAAAAATAATATCTTCAATAATATTCTTCAAACGAACTCTTTGGACGAAACAATATATTAATATTGTGTGAGATCATTGTCATATATACACATGAAGAAAATCACAAGATTTTTGTGAAACAGTCATTTGTTTTTCATGACGAAAATGTGTAACAGTCATCATCGGAAAGCCATCAAAGGATGCAAGTACGGCCGAATCTAACATGGCATGAGTAATCAGAGTAGTATGTAAAGTGTGAATAAAGACTGTAATAAGGTATGTAAATTGCGAATAAAGTTTGAGGAAATAGAATGGAATAAAAAAGAATAATGTGTCCCGACCTTGGCGCTAAGGTATTCTCCACAAAAGCAGAAGAGAAATCCCTCCATAATGGCGGCCATGTAAAACACACTAGCCTTTATCAACGCCGGACTGTCGATCGAATCGCCGTCTTGCGCGTCACTAAATCTACAAAATCGAACCACAATAATGTAGATATCATGCTTCGCGTTTCTTCGCATGCAATCACTTACTGTCACCAGCATGTACCCTAAACAGCAGATCACCAATGTGCTCGATAAAAATTGTATTAGCGCGATGTAACAGAAGATTCCCTCGACCTTGTCGGAAAAGGTAATGATCTTCTGATGCTTAACTACCAGTTCACCTGCGACGGAGAACGTCAAGCGTTGATTGTGTTTGCCGTGGGAAAAGTCCCTCAATGTATCACACAGGACTTCTATCTGGCCGCACACATGAAGAACCTGAAAATGGCGCTATTCGGATAATTGGGCAAAAAGAAGACAAAATAAGTTGCGAGGACAAAGATTACTAATGAATATACGGAAGGAAATAATGCTGTTATATCGAAAAAATTGATCAACAACGCCACAATTTAATTGAATCCAATTGAATAGAAATGGGTCGATAATTCATAAAAACGATTCAATGAAACTAATACATTATAAATTGTTTTAGTTACTTAAACTTTTGTTTCAAAAAAATTGCTATTGGATTGAAAAGGTTTACTCCAATTATGGCGGTGTTAACAATTTTTATACAAAAGCATTTTTTTCGTGGAGCGTCCTTTCACAGATTCGCACAGACTCACAAAAGTGATGACCAGCGAGTTCAACGTGCCAATCACAAGGCCAGCCGATAGCTGGTGCAGAAATTCTACGCATTGAACGAGCTCGTATCGCGGCGATTGGTTGTGCTCGAAGGGCAACTGCAGTTTCAGCGTGTATTCGCGATTCGGAATGCCGTTCACGTCGACGTCGTTCTGGCTGCTTTGCACAAGAACATTTATGAGGTAAGATATCAGTCCTGCCACGGGGAAACTAATGATCACATTGGAGAAATACCGCGACAGATTAGCCTTGCCGGTCATAATTTGCACTTCGTTCAGGGCGGCATCCTTCCAATCCTTGGCCATTACAGCTAAGAGATCGTTAAATATACTGTGACAGAGAAGTAGCAATTTGCGTTGAACTACTGAGGGGTAAATTCTGTAACGGAGCGAATCTGATTCTTTCGATATTTGGTAGTGCAAATTAAATTATGTGATTTGTTGGGTAATATTTAAGGTATATTTCGACATCATTACAGTACAGTATTGTAATGACCGTGTTGGCCAATGAAACTAAAGATCAAATATCATTGTAAGGAAAATACTTTACGAATCATTGTGAAAATGAATTTTTTCAAATTGAGAAAATTTCTTACCTACTCCAATATTCTGAAGAAATAAATTTATAATTTTTTTATATTTTAAGATTAATGGAGGTATCAGAAAGGAAACATGACTTTCATAAAGATCCTGTGAATTCAATAACTTCTCTGTTGAGCGAGGTAATGTGACAGAAGTTGGTTCTTACCGAGTAAACAACCATAAAATAATGAGTTTCGCGAACGTCACGCTGTACTCCATTGCGACACTTAAAGCGTCCATCAGGTCCGACAGATTGTCGGTTCTGAAGTGAATGATGAGGTACCAGTATTGGTAAATCTATACTATGGTGGTACTCATTATCCAAAAACACCGGTAGAGCATCGTGTAGAGCATGTCCAGCCACATCCCGACGTATCGAAGACCGATCTTCATCGAAAGCGCGAATACGCTCGCGGGCATCTTTATTTTCTCCCGTTCTACCATATTAAAATTTGTATCAAGGCACCTATGTTAATTAGTACCGCCGTTAAATATAGACCATAAGATAGACCAGTTGAATTTCGGAATTTTCGAAATTCGACTAACAATTTGACAGAGAAGACTTTCAACGGAAAAGCACGTGAAGTGTCGGTGACTTCGATAAGATCGCGATGCCACGGACAATTATAGCATAAACGGCGTTGTAAAGGCCTCCTCTACGACGATTTTAAAACGACTGTGTGGGAGCAAATTAATCACGTGAGCGATCGATGACTAAACGCAGCTATAGCAAGGTATCACCGGTCAATTGCCGACGGAGAATGAGAATTACGGTGCCCCACGCGAAGAACAGGGAATTAATGTTGCAACTATCGAACGATGATTACATGAGCGAAAAGTTACACGATTGTGGTCGTACATACCGTGGCCTTTGCATTATCTCATTTTGTCGCAAAAAATCTTTATGGCAGAATAGATTGGCTGTATGATAAATGTGTAGGAGACAACTTTTCCACCTTCGTTTTGCGTTAGCGGTCACGGCTTCAGAATAGTAACCGAGAATGTTCCAAGAAATGTAGATATATGATGGAAAAGGCTGATCATGCGCAAACGATGGTGGGGTGGGGTTCTCCAAGTGTTCGCGATACGATTTCAACGGATGATGATTATTATAAAGAGACATTAATATCGCGTATTATGTATATATATAAGAAAACTCCTATTTCCGATCTTAATTTTAATGACGAAACTTTATATGTATATGGGTGAATATAATATAAAACGAAAGGCATATGGGGAAGGGGAAAAGGGGGAATAAATATGAAGTCAACTAAAAACTTAAACCATTACTTGTTTTCAAGTACATGGGAACTCGTAGGGTACATCGAGTGCGTATACACGATGGCACAAAAACGTCAGATGTGATACTGAAGTGTGCAGGAATTCGTGACTTTTACGAAGTATCGCGACTAGTACAATGGAAATGTTGACGTCTACTCAGCACTTATGGAACGAAGTTTCAGACTAAATACTCACGGTTACCACGAGGAACTATTTATCATTGTATTCGATAAGAATTACATTAGCGCTGCATTTGCTGAAAAGGCTGTCAGAGAAAGTAATGATTTTATAACGCTTATTGATTAAGGACGACTGGCGACGGAAATGGATAAATAGTACTCGCCGTCCCCTTGGCACAGATTTTATCCAACTGTTCTTCAATATCTATTTCTCCATCAATTTGCAGCATCTACTTGTTATCAAAATCAATTACACATATTCAGCTGATACGTTACGGAAAAAGAAAACGCAAAAAAGAGACGAAAATTTTGTTAAAAATTATCAATAAAAAATTATTTTTTTTTCCTGCGTTAACTGTAGCTCCAGTTGAAACAGAACCGCCCTCTAATTTCCCGGCGATTATTTCACTTAATTAATATAACATATGAAGAATACAAATATAAATCAGCCCATTATTATCTACTCGTGTCAAGGTAGGTTTGTGCGCATGCATTCAAGGAGCTGTAACGTGGAAACCAATATAATTTATTACAAACTACGGAAGGTAAATTAATACATAAACATCATCTACGTTCAACTATGATCAATGTAATCGAATCGGTTCGCGAAAATGGATGAAAATGGATAGACAGAAAACCAATGGAATAATTTTAAAGAGTTAAGACGTATTTCCCGTTGTTATAACGATTCGTCTTTCGAACTTCAAGACATGGCATGCAGTACCGATATATATGGAACGGAGGCCTTTATTCTAAAAAATCTATCTAAAAAATCATATTAAATAATAATAGTGTGAAGAGAGCACGTGGTAAACATGCGAGGTGATCGAATAAATCTCCAGAGTGTTAATGATTTTTTTTAGATAATCATTTTATATTATTTCATAATAAAGTAAATATCATAAACTATTTCGAGAAAAAATCAATCAAAATTTCTTTCTTCCTCATTAAATTCACTCATAATAATCGTAAAAAAGAAAGATGCATCATTCGAAATGAATATGAAGCGTTAGGTAATCAACAAGAGCTGGCTCTCATTAACGAAAATTTAATATTGACTTCACATAATATTGAAATCTTACGCTTGAAAATTTCTCCAGTGACAGATCCATTATTTTCCCAGCCGTAATGGTAAGCCTCTTTTGTGACCTCAACATTATGAGCAGGATAAATTTATTCTGCTCGTGCGTCAAGTCGTACCAGAGTGACGTGTACGCCGCATCGCCGATCATTTTGCTCTAAAAATGTGTCATAAAAATATTATATTGTCAATAAACACAAATGAATGTAAATCGATATTCAAGCATCGTTTGTATTGTAATCACGATCAATAACTATGATTCGAAAACAGCTGTGACGATCACATGATTGCAATTGTCACCTTCGGTCATTATAAATGCTGGATGATCACAAAATGCAGTAATATTTATCAAAATTTAATATGAAAACAACACTTTCACGAACCAAATCTATGAGGAAACGACATATAACTGTTATGCGATGGCATATTGTCATAAGACCACTTAAAAAAATCATAATTGGAGGAGATTCAACTCTGTCTTAAAACGATCGTTATCGATTGGATTAAAAAAAAGAATGTTTGTCATCATCAGAAAAAGAGAATACGACTATATCCGATCCGAGTAGCGTGAGTTATCAAGATTGCGGGGTCTTTAAAATGAAAGTAAAACTTAAAGAAATCACATATGTCTTCCGACCTTGGCGGTGAGGTATTCTCCACAAAAGCAGAATATAAAAGCCTCGACCATGGCGGCCATGTAAAACATCACAGCCTTCAACAATGTTTGACTGTCGATCGATTTGGCATCTTGCGCGTTGCTAATTGTCTGCAACATCAAACCCAGCATGAGGGAGAGAATGTAGATATCGTGCATCGCGCCTTTTCACGAGAAGTCACTTACTGTCACCACCATGTATCCCAAGCAGCACATCACCAACGAGCTTAACATGAATTGCATCAGCGCCATGTAACAGAAGATTCTCTCGATCTTATCGGAAAGGGCGATGACTTTCTGGTGCCTGACTACCAGTTCGCTCGCAACGGAGGACGTAAAGCGTTGGTTGTATTCGTCGAGGGAAAAATCTCTCAACGCATCGCACAGAATTTCTATTGTCACGTCCTCGGGCCCTCGGGAACGAGAATGCGCTGCTCTCTTTTTGTTTTGGGCCTACCTGCATTCACCGGCAATAACCCGGGAAGGTTGAGAGCACCCGCCGTATGCTGGTAGGTAAATAGAGGAAGGAAAGGGGGGCTAGACAATTAATAAGTAAGAATCTAGATGTTCTGATACTTCAATTTTTATTTAAGAGTCAATTAATTCATAAAGAGCTGTTATTATAACATTCGTAGTTTCGCTGAATTCTACGTGGTCCTCGGCAGACCTTACGCTATTATTAACACAAAGGGGGGAATTCAACTTGCTCGCGACGGCGGCGGTGTACGAGTCTAATTCTGAAACTTCGACAGGAATTATATTTTCAATAGCTTCTTCAATTAACGAACAAAAGTCAAAATCGCGCTCCGGCTATGGGGAATTAAGTACCGTCTCTAAATCATATATGTCATCGGCCGGAGGTTTTACTTCAATAACCTTATTCTCTAGTATTTCGTGAAAAATAGTCGTGGCGCGCAGTTGTTGTATATACTCGTCTGATACGAAGGTTCCTGTTTGGTCGGAAATAATTCTCGGTCTCCTGAGTTTAACGGCAATACGAGCTCTCTTTTCTTTAATTTTACGTCTTACTCGTTGTCGTTTATGAGGCATCTAGCAATACGCGCATTTTATATTAATGTCAAATTTACTTTTAGATTATAGGTAAGGCTCTTTAAGTTATACTCACGATGGCTAACTCAGCTCCTAGGCGAGCGGCCACGTGTAAATATGCGTTGCGGACAAGGATAGCAGGCTCTGCTCCTATGCGAGCTATCCGCGAAGCGGGTTTTGTAAGGATGGCAGGCTCTGCACCTAGGCGAGCTATCTGTGTGACAAAATAACAAGGGGATTTCAGGATATTTCAGCGAACTCAAACTCCGAGGTGAGCAGCCAGGGAGAGGGAGTAGGTGTGGTAAGAGCGAGAGGACTTATAAGCAATGTTTCTAAAGTGTCTTAGTTAGAATTAAATGTTTGCTTCAATAATTAAATGTTG